GGTTGGTGAAAGGGCTGGAGGGAGGCAGCATGTCTGGCCTTGCAGTAATAGGCCTTGGGTTACTGCTGGTAATCCTGTCTTCCTCTCGTGGGAGTACAGGAGGTCAGAACATGTGGCTTCCTTGCCGTTTTTGCACATGGACTGTACATGGCACCATTTGTAGTCAAGAGAAATGTAAACAAAGATGCAGCATTACATCAAGAGTGTATGAAATTAACTATTATGCATAATGTACGACTATATTATTTTAACTCCAAGTTAAACAGCTGATTTAGGAACACCCTAGGAAAACCATATATAACAGAGAATTAAAAAACAAGAACATTAGAGCAAATGAGAAGTACAGCTAACAGCAACATATCCTACCTTTAACCACATAAAGTTAAAACCTTATAATTATTGGTTTTCTATAAATGTTCAGCTCTTATGCCTGGCTTTTACTGTATGGAGCTCTGGTAGTGTAGTAGTTAAGGCATGTGACTGATAACCAGAGGTTGGCAGTTCAAACCTAGCACCTGGTCCACAGAAAAATGAAGAGATAGTCTGCTTCCATGAAGATTGACAACCTTAGAAACCTAATGGGGGTCATTATGAGTCAGCAGTGAGTTTGGTTTGGTTTTCCTTTTCCTTAGTACATAATGTATGACTTTATAAAAAAAAATCTACTACTCATACTGAAAAAAAAAAAAAAATGCATCTTGTAGAGCAAGTCACATAATCAGATTAAATACAGCACAGAATTTGGAATTACCACACCACAAATTCAAAATAACCATAAGTAACATGCTAGAGAGCTAATAAATATTTAACATGTGCCAACACATGAAAATAATGGATATAGATAACAAAGAAACCCAAAGGAAATGCTAGAAATCAGAGACAGTGTAACAGAAATGAAGAATGCTTTTAAGAAGTTAGTCAAATTACAGGACAAAGCCAAGGAAAGAATCAGTGAGTTTCAAGATAAGGTAACAGAAACTCTAAAAGCTGAAATGCAAAGAGGAAAAAAAGAATGAGAAACATGGAAGAGAATATCCAAGAACTGTGGTGCAGTTACTGAGGGTTGGCCACGGGTGTACTGAGAATACCAGAAATCAAAGAAAGCAGAAATGAACAGAAGAAATATTTAATGACTGAGAAATGCAGAAAATTAATGCTGCACATTAAACTAAAGATTCAGGAAGTTCAGGGAACACCAAACAGGATAAATAGCAAAAACCTGCGTCTACTGCTATCATACCTGGACAGCAGAATACGAAAGCACAAATACTGCAAGACATCCGAGGGTCAGGAAAATCACCAACTAAATGAGGAGCACAGTTAATTACTATATCAGACTAGTCTTAAGAAACCATGGAAGCAAGGAGAGAGTAGAAGGAAAC